CAGCCAAGCAGGGTGTGTCCTCAACGGTAGTTAAGTGAGACGAGCAGTCCCAAACGGCAGTTAAGTTGGCGTAAGAAGAAGGGCTTAATTGCTTTGATCCCCAAGTTCGAGGGCTTATATGCATCAATTACAGTCTAGGGGCTTAATATCGATTCTGGGGTTGGTTCAGGGGCTTAACTTATGGTTTTGCCAAGAAAAACCTCATTGAATTTCTGACTTTCACCTCAATCTTCCAATTTCACAAAAAGACCTAAACTCTCCCAAACAACCAAACCCTAATCAATCTTCCTCGCTTTCTACTTCTCGCCGGCGATGCTTTGATCGGAATGCTTTTCTGTTCTCCAGATCTAATCTTCCACAGGTCAGTTTTCTCTTCTATTGATTTCTGGTTTTATCTTTTTGAGGAAATTTTTTGATTGAATCTTATTAGATTTGCTCGCCGGCGGTATTGGGGGCTTTGGTTGACGATAACATTGTATCGCCGGCGTTTTTTCGACGGATCATGAGCTGTTATTGTTCTTTCTGTAAATATTAAGGAAATTGGATATCAAAGATCAATTAAACGTGTATGAAAAATAGAAGTTCTGGATTGAATTTTTTCCTTTATATTCATTCTCGTGTTTCTTTTTTTTTTTTTTTAAATAATTATCTGGTGTTCTTTGATCTTAATGTGCATACAAGAGGTTTTGATTGATGATATTATATATCACTGAAAACCTTCTGTTCAGTTTTTAATTTAATTTTTGAGAGATTGGTCTTGTTTTTATTAATTTATATCAAGATATTTGTTAATATTTTGGTTCTATCTGTCCAATATTGATCAAAATATCAATGTTTGATTTGATTACATAAGATTAGTTTTTGGTAGGTTTGGGAGAAAATTCAAAGTTGGCCTAGTCTTGCTTCATACCTCTGATATTGAAAATAATAAAGGCTTGATTTAATGCCTGGAGTTGAGGCATTTGGTTTTTGTGCTGACCCAAAAAATGCAGTTAATTTGTTGTTAGGCTTCGTGAAATATCTTCCACTATCTATAACTTTAATGTATGACTGTATGATTGTGTGTATTTGTTTTTTTGTTCATGATGGGTGCATGCATACCTTCCACAGATTTAATCTATATTTGATGGATGATGATTGAGCCGATGGATAAAAAGTCTGCTCCTTCATCCAGGGAGCTTGTGCAGTGTCTTTATGAGAAGGTATTTCTTTTTTCTGTAAAGGTTGAGCTTTCCTTCTAAATTGCTTTTCATGCAAGTTGACTTCATGTTGCTATTCCTTTGTGCAGAATATTGATTTGGAAAATAAGCGTAGAAAATCAGCCAAGGCACGGGTTCCTTCAGATCCCAATGCCTGGCAGCAGATGCGTGAGAACTATGAAGCAATAATTCTTGAGGATCATACTTTTTCTGAACAACATAGCATTGAATATGCTTTGTGGCAGCTGCATTACAGGCGGATTGAGGAGCTCAGAGCACTCTTCAGTGCTGCTCTAGCTTCCTCAGGCTCAAACACATCTCAGGGTGTGAAAGGCCCTGTACGACCTGACCGGATTTCAAAGATAAGGCTTCAGTTTAAGACTTTTCTTTCTGAAGCAACAGGGTTTTATCATGAACTAATCTTGAAAATTAGGTCAAAGTATGGGCTTCCATTAGGGTACTTCTCTGAGGATTCAGAGAACCCAACTATTACAGACAAAGATGGAAAGAAATCAGATGAAATTAAGAAAGGTTTGGTATCTTGCCACCGCTGTTTGATATACTTGGGAGACCTTGCACGGTATAAAGGACTCTATGGGGAGGGAGACTCGATAACACGTGAATATGCAGCAGCATCAAGTTACTATTTGCAGGCTGCATCAATTTGGCCATCAAGTGGGAATCCTCATCATCAGGTTTCTCTATATTCCTGTCATTGTTTTTCATTCAAATTTTCTCCCAATCCATATTTTATATTTTTTCATGAGCTTTAAGCTTCCAGTCTGCATCGGGTTTTTTTCTTTTTCTAAAAAAAAAAAAAAAATTGTGGGCCAAATATACTGCTTATTTCAGCTGGCCATACTGGCATCTTATTCTGGAGATGAGCTTGTAGCTGTTTATCGATATTTTCGGAGTTTAGCTGTGGAGAATCCCTTTTCAACAGCTAGGGACAATTTGATTGTGGCATTTGAGAAGGTATATCTGCTAAATTTGTTTTCCAGTTATATGTTTGTGAAACGTTGTCAATTCATTTACTTGTAAGTTCTTTCTCTTCCTATTACTAAAGGGGAAAAGATCTTTCCTTTTTTTTTTTCAGCACATACATACTGAAGGATAGTTGTGCAGCATATTTTGATATGTATATATATTAATTGTGCTTATACTAATTTTAACTTTTTAATTGCAGAATCGTCAGAATTACAGTCTACTGATTGGGGATGGTAAAACTTCTTTGGCCAAGGAGTGCAACATGCGGATCAGCGGCAAAGGTAGAGCTAAAGCAGAAATGAAAGCAGTATCTAAAGATACCACCATGGGACCTAGCCCTGTTAAGGAAAAAGTATCCAGTGTTGAGATGTACAAAGTTTTTTGCATTCGTTTTGTACGCCTTAATGGCATTCTTTTCACTCGCACAAGGTACACTATCTTGAAAGCTTACTGAAGTCGTTCTTTAAAATTATGTTCTTGGATTTTGCTTCCTAACGGAACCCTTCTTTGCTCAGCCTGGAGACATTTGCAGATGTTCTGACTCTAGTTAACAGTGATTTATGCAAACTTCTTTCTTCTGGACCTGAGGAGGAGCTAAATTTTGGAACAGATGCTACTGATAATGCACTTCTCATTGTTAGGCTTGTTTCTATTCTTATATTTACCGTGCACAATTTAAAGAGGGAGAGTGAAGGCCAAACCTACGCAGACATTGTACAACGCACTGTTCTCCTTCAGAATGCATTCACAGCAGTCTTTGAGCTGATGAACCATATAATAGAGCGATGCCTACAGCTTCGGGATATTTCTTCAAGTTATCTATTACCAGGCATTCTGGTTTTTCTAGAATGGCTGGCTTGCTGTCCGGATATTGCATCAGCAGGCGGTGATGTGGATGAGAAACAGTCAACTACCCTATCAAATTTCTGGAAGCAGTGCATATTGTTCCTGAATAAGACCTTATTGGTTGGGCCAGTGTGTATTGATGACAATGAAGATGAGACTTGCTTTTTCAATATGAGCAGGTATGAAGAGGGGGAAACTGAAAACTGTATGGCACTGTGGGAGGACTTTGAGTTGAGAGGCTTCTTACCCCTTCTTCCAGCTCACACCATATTAGATTTCTCAGTGAAGCACTCTTTTCGATCAGATGGCAATAAGGAACAGAAAGCCCGTCTAAAGAGGATATTAGCAGCTGGAAAGGCTCTCGCAAATATAGCCAGGGTTGATCAGAAAACAGTTTGTTTTGATTCTAAGGCGAAGAAATTTGTTATTGGTGTTGAGCCTCTGGATGATGCTGCCTTTACCTCCACCTCTAGTCCACCCAGAGCAAATGGTTTGCTGCAAGAAACTCCTGCTGAAGAGATAATTAATATTGGTGTTGGGCAGCCAAACTCACTACCAATGATGGATGGGGAAGAGATTGTTGACGATGATGATGAAGTAATTGTTTTCAAGCCCATTGTGGCTGAGAAGAGGACTGATGTGGTTGGTCCAAACTGGCCTCCCTATGATAGTTTGATGGCTGATCAGAGTAGATCTGCTGGTGATGAGAAGTTTCATGGTATTTCTGTTTCAGCCTCTTCTTCTCTCAATAACCTTTGGCCCCACACAACTATTGAGTTAAGTCCACCACTGCCTGTATCTGTTGGTAACATTTTTCCTCAGCATCTGCTGCCAATTCCATCACATGCAACCAAGTGGTCTGCTGGAGAAGCTACCCTTGTGAATGGCCTGAGGGGTTTGAACCTTTTGGAGAGCAAAATTCTGACAAAACCTGAGATGCAAGAACATATTGACATATCTCATTTGGCGGCTCGTTCAGTTGCCATTCCACAATCCATTGGTGTTAACACCAATGGTATGTTCTACACTCAGGCTAACACCCCAGAAATGGTTATACCGTCCAGAATTGATGGTATTGCAGTATCTGGGTCTGGGGTACGTGGTGATACTTTGGCTGCAAGAACATCCTCAGCTTTCCCAGTAGGTCCACGGAAAAATCCAGTTAGCCGGCCAGTTAGGCATCTTGGTCCTCCTCCTGGTTTTGGCTCTGTTCCTCCTAAACCCCAGAGTGAAGCTGTTTCTGCTTCAGATTTAGAGAATCCTTTGATGGATGATTATAGTTGGTTAGATGGATATAAGCTGCCATCAGCTGTAAAAGGCCCTGGCCTTGATGTTTCTGTTAATTACACATCTCATGCAAATAGTCAGTATGTCAATAATGTTAGCAATGGCTTGAGTGGTACGGTCAGCTTTCCCTTCCCTGGAAAACAAGTTCCAACATTGCAGTTTCAGATGGAAAATCAGAAAGGATGGCAGGATGGCCAGGCACTCGAGAATCTAAAATTTCAGCATGAACAGAAGTTGCAACAACTCATCAATGGAAACCAGCAGTTTACTTCATTGCCTGAGGAATATCAAGGACAATCAGTCTGGATGGGTCGTTATTTCGTGTGAATCCAATATGCAAGTGTAGCTGGTTAGTTCAATCTCCCATCCCAATTTCTTTTTGATTATGATTGATAAAGGTTTTATCATTTTTGTCCCCTGTAACTTTCTCATCTATTGTTTGGTTAGGTTTTGGAGAATGATTCTCATGAATCTACTGCATCTTTTTGCTTGCTGCCAACTTGAACTCCGACTTTGGATTGTTATGTGTTGAGTTTCTGTTGGAGCATTGATGGCCGTGGCTTCTAGTGGGCACTTGCTACCATACAGGTTAAGTATCACTTGATATCCTCGTAGATAGTTTGTCAATTGTTGGATTTTTCAATTTGTATGTGGTTGTATGCATGTGTTTTCCTTGCTTATTCCTTTTTCTCTTGCTTTCCCACAACTCACTGGTTCCTTTGATATTTCTTTTCTGCTTTCTTATATCATGCAGATTCTGCCAGAGCTGGAGGATGAGATGGAAAATATCTTTATGATGCGAAATTTGTAAGGAGTAAATGCCTTAACTGGTTACTTGAGATGGAGATAGAACATGTTAATAAGATCATCTGTTGGTTTGGAGCCTATGTCTCAAGGAGTTGGTCAAATAAATTTGATGTATACTCGCTATTATTTAGCTTTCTAGTTTCTGGCAGAATTGATGTTGATCATCAATAGCTGGAAGCTGCTAATATATGATGTGCTCGACCAGTTCTTTGCCTGGTAGCTTTTGGAGCTCTAAGAAGTCTACTACTACTAGTCACGATCTGGGTATCAGAAAGTGGTCAGTGGGATTACAATGGTGCTTTGAATAGCAGAATATATGGGTGAGTACAAGTGTGATGTGTACTTTGGTTATCTGGGTCAGAGACTTGTAATGTTATTATGGTTACGGACTAGGATGAGTGATGTAGAACACACAAAAGCCAGCCTTTTGTGTTGAAGTTTGGTTCCACTCAAAACTTCTTATGATGAAATAAATTTGTGGGGATTATTTCCCCCTTCTAGTGTCAAATTGGAGTTTATCTTCCTTCGTGGTTCTGTTGCAATAAAGCAATAGTTGTCTATAATGTTCCTAGGTGTGTTATTTCCAAATGACACTCCACTAATAAAACTGCCTAATTTCTCTGATCATCTATCTTCTTTTTCATCCACAAGATGCTTTAGGAAGATAAACCACCGACGCTTATTTTGACAAAAACAATTTGGATTGTGAGTTATTGAGTTGGGATCAGAACGGCTAAGGTGTATCTCTTTTTATTCTATTATTTTTAGAAGTCAACTATCTCTTGATTTAAAAATTCTGTTATGAATCTATCTCTTGAGTTATTGTGATGCTGAAGTTTCTCTGTTTCCGAGTCGTTTTCAAGTTTTCATTCCGGAAAGGCAATGGCGTCTGAATTGAAGGAAAATCCTGCTTTCTAGACGGTACTGGTATCATATATCCGTCTGTATGCAGTCCCAGTACTGCCCAGGTTTCCATCGAATTGAAAGACTCATCGTGCCTTCAACGGGGCAAAAATCTGGTTTTAGCCCTTTATCTTATGAAGGTTTTAACTTATCACCTTATATTATAACATTTTTAATTTTTTATATTATATTAAATGTTAATTCTATTAGTTAAAAATAGGTTTTTATCAATTAATACTCAACTAATGATCAGTTAACAGAATTAACGAAATATTATAAAATTAGTTTTATTAATTTTATTTGCTAAAAGAAGATTTTTGTCAATTAACAGTCAACTAATAGTCAGTTAACAAAACTAATAAAATGTTACAAAGTAAGAATTATTTTTTTCAATTTTAATAGATGATGGGTTAAAAATATTATAATATAAGACGAGGGACTAAAACCTACACATCTAATAAAGTGAAGGATTAAAATTATCGTAATATAAAGTGAAGGGTTAAAACTTTTAAACTTGATAAGGTAAGGAATCAAAATTAAACTTTTGCCCTTTCAACGGGGTACCATGCCCCTCGCATTCCCTGCCGCTAATCAACAACGCCGTGGGGGGTGTATCACAAACATTTGTATTCTGTTTCATATGCTGACTTTGACATATAATTAATAATGGAGTTATTCCCAAAATTTATAATGAAATAGAAAATTCCGTTCATAAAAAAAAAAAAAATGAAGAAGAAGAAAGAAGAGGAGTGAAGATTCCACTAAGATTAAGAATGTGCATCATGAATTTTATTAGTGGTTGTCTGCTGTATTTTGACAAATGAGAAGCGATGGATACAGCTAGCCTTGGCCTGTTTCTACTAATACAGTAGTAGTTCGGTGCAACTTCCACTCCCAAATTAATTGCATCTGCCCTTCTAATCTAACTTGTTGAAGCTGCACATCTTTCTTAGGTTACTTTTGAGTTCAATTCACTCCTTTACCTAAATTTGCAAATGTTTCCAAAAAGAAATGAAAACAAACAAACAAACCAACCAACCTCCTATATTGATTAGGGTTTGCATTTTGTTTTGTCTCTTTTGTGCGTAAAATTAATTTGGTCAAA